TATCTTAGTTTTGCATGGTAGAGCTTTAAAATAGAGCTTTAAAAATAAATACAAAATACATAAATATACTATAGAGGAAATATAAAAATATATAAAATGCATAAAAGATAAGAAAATACAAATATTACTCCTGTTGCACTCGTATGTTTTATTACAACATATATTTGCAAGCAATACCACATTTACAGCCACTATATAAGGCTTATTGTTAACCCCATATGAATAACCGCATTAGATAATATTGCATTAATATCCATAATCAATTATCTATAGAGTACTTACCATATATCAAGTACTTACCATATACCGCATGCTTACCATATAAATCGGCAAGTTACCGACAGCCGAGATACTTACCTACCTCTTGCGTTCAGTATAACCAGTCGAATAGTTATCGACACTAGTAAGCACCTGTTAGTTCAAACAAAATACGTTGTTACAGCGCCATCCCTAAAGGAAATTTAATAATAAATCATAATATTTTATTAGCTTAACGGAAAGACATTCTCGAACCTCATCAAAGGTTCCCTAATCGATTTTTCATTTAAGATGAAATTCAAAAAGTTTAAATAATTAACAACAATAAAGTTGTCGTTAACAATACAATTTAATAACGTAGATCAATTTGTCAGAGCAAGTCAAGCAACTTTTGTAATAAGCATCAAAGCCGTATCTCTTATAGTTCAGGAGATACAGAAAGAGCCATATACCTGTCTTTCTCGCACCAACGCGTCTTCTTTAAAAATTCATTATTCAAAAACTAATAATGATCAAGAAGCCAAACTCAAAGGGTTTGAACCTATAAAGGAACCCTACGGGACAATATAATAAAATTCAAGGAATAATAACTTTTATTTATTTAAATAATTATTGATAATTAACAACAAAATTTTATTAAGCCAATCGATAGTACAGAAAGAGTTAAACAACTTTCATAATGGGAACTATAATTTTATCTCTCACCGTTTAGGAGTTATAAAATTCTAAAGAACCAAGAGTTTACTTTCTCTGTCTTTTATAAAAGTCACTATACGCTTACAGCCGTAAGCGTAATGCAAGAGCAGGAGAATCTGTCCTTGTTCTTCCATCGAAACTTTCGGAATTTATTTAAAATATAAAGAATAACGATAGAAGGATCAAATCTTGTAGGGATACATAGCAAAGTGCCCACTACAAGATAGCTAATTAAAATCTTGAAGAATATAAGCCGGACGATATTGTTAATTTGGCCACTAATTAACTATTTAATAACTTCCTTCCTATAAGAGGAAACTGCATACATGCTTATATCAAATTAAACGGCAAAACCTCGCGAATCCGAATAACTAAAAATCAAATAACTTTGATGGTCAAAGTTTAAACTTTTTAATTTGTTATAAACAAATAAATTTACAATAAGTCCCAGACTAGCCTGATAATAATTCCGGGCCTATAACGAGTCTAACCGACCCAAAAATTAATTAATTAACTAATTGTTTATTTATTTAATTTTTAAACAAATTTTTCACTATTCGGAATTTTAACTTTTACGACCGATTACACGTCCCTGTATAACTCCGAGCGCTCTCCGACGCTTAGTTCTCGAGATATCGCTATTTTTGAAAAGTCACTATTCACCAAAAAATAATAAAAATTATAACAATATTTATGGCCCAGGTCCCAATTTTCCATCTACAACCGTTCTCGAGTTAATAAAATCAGTTTAAATAAATTATACGTACACTTTCAATGGGTGCGACAAAGAGAGACATATAGGAATCATACGTATAAGAGAGAGACGACAACATGAAGGGTAATACACATTGATGATACGTTACTGACAGAACCGTGTGTATTGCAATTTAAACGCTAGTTAATAAAAAGGATGGATAACGCTATTAACAATGTATTTTCTTTCAGAATTTATTATTAATATTTAAGCGTATATTATATATTGTTTATTGAGCATAAAGAAGTTAACGTTTGCATTAATAAATTTAAGCGTGCCTCCCAATGATTTACGCTCGCGCCTGAAGCGAACGCTAACGAAGATCCGCACAAAGAGGAGACCGATAATATTTCATTTAACAAATAACGTCTTTAAAAATACTCTTTATGCTCAAAACCATTTAATTATGATTTAGTTATAATAAAAATGTACAACGGTGACGCCTCTGCATTTAAATGAAATTATTTCTTGTTTTATTAACTTTATTAATTATTACATGCGTTAATTACGCTTTGGCATTTTGCATAAATTAATATAACATAGTATGAACTTGTATAACTCTGCCTTTAACGTTTCTCGATCCATATAGCAAAATTATATTATAATAAATTCAGTTTTAAATATATTAAATCAAAGGCAAGTGAAATTAATATTAGCAGAGAACTGTTATTGAAATCTAGGCCCGGTGACGCGATGTCTCGACTGAAAGGAAATACTAATTGATAACAGAAAAGTTGGCGACGAGATGTCGGGCCTATAAAATAAACTAAAGGATCGGGTAGCGAAGAAGGAATTTAATAAATAAACTCTGGCGAGACCGTTTATTAAAACATCCGGAGATAAGAAATCGAGCGTCTACATAAACTTAGGGATCATGTTCTCGAGCCGCCGCCGAGCCGCCGTGGCCGCCCCCCATTTTTGCGCCCCATATGCGATTTGCGTGTTCCCCACTTAGCAGTCCCTGCGGCCGCTGACTGCACCGCCGATTCTACCACCTCCACTGATTTTCGCCCTATATTAACGCGTGCACAAAGCACAGAGCGGATTCACACGACTTTTTTCACCGTCTTCACTACTCTCTTTTTTCTCCAGCATTATTACCACGTCACTGCGTCAGTCGATTTTTCATAGTTCGGACTTAGAATATTTTCGTGAGCTGACAATTCATTATACGGACTTAGACTCCACGCGTCAAAATCGGTCTAGACGGAATAGATTCGTGTGTACGAACTCTCTAGAGCTGTTCCCCTGACGAATTCAAGACTCCCGAGCCGAGACGTACCGTGCGACAGTTTCCGAATTTGTGAATTTGTAAGTAACCGTCTTTATTATTAAATCTGAAATTGTAACTACTTTTCTTTATTAAGTTTGAAATTGTAAGCAACTATTTTTATTGAATTCATAGATTCATTGTCACTGTGCGTGACAATCTTTTCTAAATTTAACTAAAAATTGTAACAATCATTAACTATATTATAACATTACTTCTTTTCTTTAACACATTGTTATACCGAATCATTAATATTCCCTTACGAAAAAAAACCCTCATTTTTTGGTGTTAACACTCAAATTTGGGCGTTTACCATCAAAATTGAGTGTCCGCCGTCAATATTGAGT